CAGCATTTTTCAGCTTCTAAAATGTATTCCAAATGTACCCATGGTTACCACTTGCTTAGAGATAAATTCTAAATAGTTTCCTTATAGCATAAGTGGCAACAAGGTGTCATGTTTTTGGGAGAATGGTTTGTTTGTTTTTCTTAGTCCTTATTAAGGCTTAATAAAGATTTGAAGTAGCTGAAAATCTCAATTTTTTCAACTTTTCTGGCTGTTACCATGGCAACCAAGACACATAGCAACGAAATTTTATTTGATATATGTTTCTGGTGTCAAGTTGTAATAATGGGCAAAGTTTCATCAAAATCGGTGACCATGCGTGGCAAAGAAGTTTAAGTGGTTACAGAGAATCGCTATTAAATCCTGATTATATAATAAAACAATTATAGACTAATTCGGTGGTGAATGGTTTGTTATTCACCAGAAAAATATCAATATTGACTGATTAGTATCTGGAAGATTTCTGGTTTACATGTAGTTATAAGTATCTGAAAATATCCGTTATATATTCATGGTTTCAGGTAAGTTTTGTCATTGTCTGTTGTTAAGAAAACTAAGGTTTTTTTAACATGTGATCATGATCGATAATATGTGCATGAGTTTAAGACTACTGAAATATTAGGTTGAATGAGATGTATACTTTTAGGTTAACCGAGTCAGTTACAATAAGAGTTTTTTAATGTTTATTATTTACGGTAACCAATATTTTGCTGGAGACGAAATTTAGCTAATATAAATAAATAAATGAATAAATAAATAAATAAATAAATAAATAAATAAATAAATAAATAAATAAATAAATAAATAAATAATAAACTTGAAGTAAGTCCAGTCTTATCATTTTAAGAAAGAAAAATATAAGGCTCATTCCCGACAGACTCAATGTATAAGTATCAATGACATATGATAAAACCTCACCTAGGGTCTTCAGAAATTCTCTGTTTGAAATCTGGAGAGAGAAAAAAAAGATATTAAGCGTTCATAGTTACTCTGTATCAATCATTTATGCCTCAATATTGTGTTATTTAGCTCATCTGAGTCAATGTGAGCTTTCCTGTCCGGGTGTATCGTCGTTTGTTATAACCATGCATTTTCTTCTGCAATATACGGAACGATATCATCCATACTGGCAGGGGGCTCTGTTCCAAAGAAAATAATACCCATTTGATGTGCTTTTCTCTCAGGTCGATATATCTATGGATCAACCTCATAAAATGACTACATTTTTATAATATTGAGACGACAACTTATTGTTTCTGTTCTTGAGAAGAACATTTTAAAAAAATTAATTAATTAAAATAAAGTAAAGTAAATTCAATTCAATGTCAGTTTTGAACTTTTTGATCCGGGGACTTTGATTTTTGAATATTCATCAAATCATCAATATGGAGATGTTTGCATAATTTTGTTTTGACTAATTATTACCTTTCTGTTTTTTTTTTTTAATTTGATTTTTTTTTCAGTATGATTTCTTGGAATGTAATAAGTTGTTGGCTATATATTTGAATTCAGTATTTAGCATACTTATTTGTCAGGAATTTTTGTAACTCAGGTGAGTGTTATGGCCATTTGGCCTCTAGTTGTGATACGTAATTGGGCTTTCCAAATGGAGATATGAATTATGTTTGACGAAATCACAGGATTTTATTACATCGCGGAATTTTAGCAACCTTTATTACATAGATTTCCACTATAACTATTATGTGTATTTAAGGAATAACTGTCTAATTTTTTGGATTCATGATGTGATCAATCGAGTGGCTTGCGTGATAATTTGCATAAACGCCTACCGATGAACCAGTAGATTTATGTAGAAATAAAGTATTTTTACAATTTGTAATTTTATCTCAGACAAAGACATTGGAAATGTAAATATTAAAATATAAATCACTAATACGCGGTTAATTCACAAAATTCACTTCAGTTCAATACTGTCTCCCAAAGCAATTATTATTCTTTGTATAAAACAGATCCTACTTTGAAAGGTATGTTCTGTCTCACTTTTTTTTTAAAGAAAGGGGCATATATCTTCGATACCGTAGTTCATCTTTATCTATAGTTTTAAGTATCCTACGCATGAAATTCTTTATCGACGTTGAACAGAATTATTAATTTAATTGAAGTGATCTGCACGTAGAATCTACACATTCATGACATCACTGATTATCTTAATAAATATTGATGTTATGAATGTATCGACGTGCAGATCAATAAAATTACATGTGCATGAACTACCAAAATCCATGCTCCTAATTTTAAATCAAAAAAGGTAATGAAACATACTTAGGGTATACTGAAAATATTTTTTATTTATATGTAATTACATCGGATGAATAAAAGCTTTGAATTTTATCTATCTATTTATTTATCTATCTATCTATCTATCTATCTATCTATCTATCTATCTATCTACCTAGATAGATAGATAGATATCAAAAAGATGGATTGAAACACTTATAAACTTATTTTTTCTTAATTTAAACTTGATTTCTGAATAAAACATTTGATAAATTTAGAAGTTTGTTAATTACCTTGAAAGCCCCGCAAAATGAGAGATAAATTATCAGCGCAAGAATGATAAAGGTCCTCATGCTGGAGTCCGATTCTCCTGAATACAGCTGAAACTACGACTAAGGACGCTATATACAGGCCGTAAAGAATAATATATAGATATAGATAATATATAGATTAATCCTCCCTCTGAGCAGGGACAGTATATTTTTTCATTAACAATCTGCTCAGAGTTTTATTTATTTATTTTTTCTCAAAGAAAATGTTGATAGGTGGATAATTCGGATTTCTATGTTCAGCACTTGTACAGTAACACGTCATGTAAAACAACTTAATCTGTAAACCCTGCCCTGGGAAGTTTTCTCTTCTTCTTCTTATTTTTTTTTTATTTATTTTTTTTTCGGTAAATTTTATTTTTTGGAAAAACATATTATATTTGCTCTGGATTGAAATACGAAATAGTATAAAAGCTTGTGGTCATCACACAACCTTGGGAAAATAGGCTCCGGATCTTTATAATTAAAACATATGGTGGGTGTATATTTATTTTAATTACAGATTACATGTATAAAAGTTCATTTTTCGTTTTGGAAATAATGATGGATAAGCAATTTCTTTTCTTCCTTTTTTTTTTTTTTTTTTGGTTTGAGAAATAATTCATGAATATTTTTTTAATATTATAATTATGTATTGGCTTAAGATACACATCACATTGCTATGAAATAAATAACAAAATGGCGTTATAATAGGCACATGCAATCAAGGTGATATCATATAATAATGTTTCCAAGGAAAATGATATTATGAGAGGAAATTTTCTCTCGAATGCAAATATTTCCCTAAATTACAGAGATCATGAACATTTTGAACACTTTAATACCAATTCTACTTAAATATCAAAATGTGGCCACGCGATGACTTAGATAAAGCTTACTTTTTTTCTTAATGAAACGTCAATAGGTGACGAACTATATAAAAGAAAACATGGCGGTATACCTGGTTACCAAGAAAACAGGGAGAGAAGATGAAGAAATAACTAGATATTGCTATTTCATGCATGATATGAAAAAATACTAGACAAAGCTTAATTCTTCATGCAGATTTTTTATATGTTCATGACAATTAAAACTATGCAAATTTATAATCAGCTGATGTGTTACTGACTTAAAAAATATTTACAATTTTATTTTGACTCTACTGAGCTTATTCGCCTAATTCTCAGAGTGGTACGTCTTTCTTTTTTTTTTTTTACCAAGTTATGCATACACTTGTATTTTAAAATTCAGTATTAAAAAAAAAAAGATTTTGGATTTTTTTTTTTTTTTTTTTTTTTTTTTTTTGAGGGGTGGGTGGTGGGGGTGGGGTAAGAATGAGTGGACTTAAGAATCCTTAAAAATGTCTAATTAATTGAGGTGTTACAAAATGTTTATTCTCTTCATAATATAAATCAACGATATTTTAACTGTGTATTCTTGATACTTATATCAATATGAAAACATTCTTTTCAAGGAAAACCAGATTAACAAAAGAAGCATTGTACCCGATGATATAATACATCGTCAGTACATATTTGTCAGCTGTTCTTAGGAAAACTGTCGTTGTATATTGAACAAAATAATATCATATTAAAAGGAGATGTGCCAACAAACGTGAGCTCATACTTAATTTTACAAAACACCAATACTACGTGCATGAATGTTATGTTCACCAGAGTGGAAATCATGTGCTGAAGAAATTTGCCAGAGTTGCACAAGTTCACCAAATTCCCAAGTTATAGTATGTATGTGTCATACCTTTTTACCTTTTCACAAAGCTTCTACCTACACGTGTATTAATTCAAAATTTAAAAAAATAATAAAAAAGATTTTGAATCCCGGATTATTTTTGATTAAAAAGACACAATAACTATACCAAATGACAGGCCAATATCCAAAGACCAAACCATTACATGATAATTTTATAATAATCAAATCTAATGAATTTTTTTTCTGATCTTCGTGATACATTAAATGAGATGAATACTCCTTATTGAACGACTTAGCTATTATTTTGCAAATTAACTCCCCCAATGGAACTCTTATTACAAAGAAAGTAGGAAAAGAAATGACCAATCAGAAACGAAGATGGAGGTGCCGCGGCCTGACGATTTCGCGCGAAATGCTGACTGAGAAAGAAAACGGTAAGATAATTCATATTCAGAAAATTTTCCTTATTATACAGCTCATTTATTGCAGAATCTATACTGAGTATTATAAAAATCCGTATGTAAGAGGATTTGGTGTTGTCGACTAGAGGGTTCAAGTGTCTTGCAGACTCCCGATCGTGAAGTACAGGGACACCTTACCTTATAAAGCTCTTGGAGCTTGGGATCTGTGACTACATTTGTCATTAAATTCTCTTTTTATCTTTGTGATTCATTTCACGTGTTTCTGTTTACTTTTCTCTGCAGTTAAAACTTGTAAAGTGCGTGTCACGTGAACAACTCTGAAAGTATGGGAGAAGACATTAATGTTGATGTTCTTATCCAGACCTTAGAGTCAAAGTCAGCGTCACAAGAAGAAAAGAATGAAGTATATCTTCAATTAGCCAAGTAAGAACTAGTTGTGGCTTGTTAAAGGTAGAAAAATTAAAATTAATCAAGATTTCACTGACATATCAGGTTTCTTCTAAAAAGGTTGTTAGTAAGTTAATTTCTACCTTTCGCAGTGAACCAAGAGTACTAGCAAAGAAATATATGCTAATGGAAGTAGCAATTGAAACAAAAAAATCTGAATTCTGAATGTAACATCTAGATGCTTTACTTATAGAACTGTCAGAACACATCTAATCATGGTAATGTGTTAGTAATCTTGGTGAGACAATGGGCTGAGATTCACTGAGATTAATGTGTTCATTTTCAGTTAATTGGCTCATTGTGAGGTAAAATTGTTTGGAAGTTTGAATTTTCATTGCTGCTGAACAACTTCATCAAACTATCTGCCCAACATGCCCAAGTGTCCTCTTTTAAGATGTCTATCTTTGTACACCATCTCTGAATACGGCTTCTTCATTTGTAGATGCTTCTTAGATATAAACATGTTACACTAAATATTTATAAGGAATCCCTTTCCTTTATAGCCAGTTAAGAGAGGACAGCCTAAGTCTAGTGAGCCTTGATGTTACTAAGAATTCGCGGCAGTTCTGTGAGGTCCTGAAAATGGACTTGCAACACAACCACATCACTGCTAACGGACTTCAGATCCTGGGCTTTTGTCTACATGACAAGGAGGCTGTCGGGTAAGGCATATCATTAATACATTATACATTGTATCTGTCCAGCTAGTAGGACTGTGTATGATTAATACATTATATATTGTATCTGTCCAGCTAGTAGGACTGTTGATGTCTCCCCTTTTTAAAACTCAACTCAGCAGTGAGCTAAGGGGGGTGACAAATCCCAAATCCCGACGCCAGGGGCTAGTGATTTTTAAGGGTGGGCAAGTGGAATTTTATCAACCACTTGCCCGTGAAAAAAATAAAATCCATATGCAAGTCATAAATCTAAAGTTTTGTACAGGAGTTTGCATGATCTACTCAGTATTTGTATTCCATTTTTTTTAAATATATATAAATATGATAATAGTTTATGGTGGGACAAGCAAATATTCAGGTAGGGCAAGTGAATTTTGACTATGCACTTGCCCTTGGACAAGTGCCTAAAAAATCTATTTGTCAGCCCCTGGAGCTAAGGCAGAGAGGTGCTTGAGGGGCTGAGGTGGAAGATTATTTGTATGTGATTTTAGCATTTTTCTTAGTAATTAAAACAATTTTATGAATTTAATATTTGGTTTACCTATTGATACTTTATTAGTTTGTTATACAGGATACACAACTAAGGTTACCTTTAATTTTTGAAAGCAGCTGAAAGGATGGGGGATTGTTTGATTTTTCGAGTTCAAATTTTGTATTCATGTACATTTTGTCCTTTGGGTATTAGATTCTTAACATCTTTGTTTATATTGTAAGTAAAGGGATTTCCAAGCAGTTTATTTTATGGAAAAAAGACAGGCAGTTACATATTTATTTGAAATTTTGTGAAAAAAGAATTGTTTTAAATATATGTTTAAATTTGTTTCAGAAATTTGTCTGCAGACATGTGTAGAAGTATATTATCCTTACTGTGTGACTGTGTAGAGAAAACTGAGGATAAAAATCTTTGTGCCAAATCCCTCTGGTGCCTTCATCAGCAAAACATTCCTAAAGATATTGTCAGTCAACAAGTGAGTGGTTTATACTGGTCCCTCCTTCCTCTTCCCCCACCCCACCCCCCAATGTCAGTCAACAGGTAAGTGGTTTATGATCCCCCCAACAGGTGAGTGGTTTATAGTGTGTTTCTCGTCCCCCTCACTGTCATTCATTAAGAGAGTGGTTTATACCCCCCCCCCCCCCCCCCCCCCCCACCGTGTGAGTCAGCAGGTGAGTGATATATACTGAGTCCATGTCAGTTGTCAGTCAACAGGCAAAGTTGTCAGTCAACAGGCAAGTTGTTTATACTTTTTGCCCCCCCCCCCCCCCCCAACTTTTAAAACCATTATGATTGAAGGTAAACACAGACAATTTCAGATTTACAAGGCAAAAAGCCAAGTATTTGGGTCAGTTCATAAAATAAACAACTGTAAAAAAGCATACAGTAAAACTCGAAACCAAATTACAGGTGGAGTATAATATGTGTATGTGGATATCATTATGATATAATGTGGCTTGTAGGTGGAGTCAGTATTGTCAGCAGTGGAACAAGCACTCCTGAGGTGGAAAATGCAGTCATCTGTTGTGGAACACGAAGCCTCACAAATCATTTACAGGTAAAGTACTACCAAAAAAAATCTGCCCAGAATTATCAAAGCAAAGCCTCACAAAGAATTTACAGGTAAAAAAAAATGCCAAACAAAAACCTGTGTGGAATAATTATCTACAATCTTGTGGTCTCCAACTGACAGGGTTTGACATTAACTTTTATGAGTACTAGACCAGTCGGGCTACTTCCCATAATTTTTACGAGCCCTGGCCAAACTTGAAAATTTACTTTTTATACAACCTGTTAATTATGGGAAAAAAGGTTGGAAACCATACTTTAATAAAGATATTGTCTCTCACACCTGTTAAGATATATTTTGACAGACTGTTCCATAGGTCACAGGCCATTGAGTTGGGATAAGCGGGGTATGCAAATATTATAAGCCTTAGAGAACATTCAACAAACTTTCATAATTCCAATTGATGGCTAGTTTTAATCACGACCCAATTGATAGCTAGTTTTAATCACGACCCAATTGATGGCTAGTATTAATCACGACTAATCTATAACAGCTGGATTAAAAATAGGGCTGTCACGAGTACCTGAAATAACCGAGAACCGCTGTCCAAATTGTTCGGTTCGGTTCCGGTTCCATTTTTCCGGATTTCGGTTCGGGTCTGGTTTATATATTAGAGTCTGTTCAATACAAAAAATGGCGTCGAAATCAAAGGAATGATGACGATAACAGTGATAAATAAACATCACGACTGAAATACTTCTTTCCATGACAGAACACTTGTCAAAGAAGTATTAGATAATTATCAAAACGAGCAGGAATGGTCAGGTTAACTTGTGGCTAACAGTAGGCCAAGTCGCCGATGTCTAGACGTTCGCATGGTTAAGACTTGTTTCCAATGTAAATTTATTGTAACAAATAAAGATTTTTCAAGTTAAATTCATGAGATTAAGGTTTAAAATAGATGTACATGTAAATACCCGACCCGAAAAACCCGAAACCGAACCGAAAATTTACAGAACCGACCCGACCCGAATAATTTTGGAACCGTGACAGCCTTAATTAAAAATAGCAATATTAAAAACTTTTTAGAATATTATTTGAAAGACTGAAATGAGGGATAACTTTATTTCATCCACATGACCAATCAGTCTAGATCACAAACATTTTACACGACAGGACTTTTCATTTACTAGACTGGGTCAGTTGGACATGCCTTAGTGTCAAACCCTTCCTGATGCCTATAGGCTTTTGTTGAGGAGCAGTTAATTACTATCACAGAGTTTTGAATCTTGAAGAATTCTGTCAATCCAGTCAGCCACCCACTTCCAGAATTAACTTTCTTTAATTTAAAATCAAGAAGGATGTCATTCCTCTCAGTTCCTCTCTTTGAAAGTCTTAATTAAGCCACCTTTTTTATTAGCACTAGCAAAAATACTCTATATATCTGTTGAAAAAAAAAACAAGTGACTTCTGAGATTTTTTGGTTACTAAATTCCATAGAACTGGTATATAGGTGAAGCAGCCTCTTATGTATATCATGCTTATCAACTTGAAGGAAATTGTGTTAGATTATGTGAAAATTTGCAATGAAGCTTTTAATTTGTATAACATACATGTGTTTTAAAGTGTTGTGGTCATCCTTGTAATAGTGACAATGTGTAATGTAGGTTATTAAAGGATTACCTTGTAATATTGACAATGTGTTATGTAGGTTATTAAAGGATTACCTTGTAATATTGACAATGTGTTTTGTACATGTAGGTTATTAAAGGATTACCTTGTAATATTGACAATGTGTTATGTAGGTTATTAAAGGATTACCTTGTAATATTGACAATGTGTTATGTAGGTTATTAAAGGATTACCTTGTAATATTGACAATGTGTTATGTTCATGTAGGTTATTAAAGGATTATCGGCGGGAGATGGATGATCACATTGTGAGGTGGGGGAAGCTGCTGCTCCCACTAATGGCCCACAAGGCCCCCAAAATACACCAGTCAGCTCTAGAGGTTGTGAAGACAGAGTTACCTGCCCTTCTCTCTCATCAGAAGGAGTTGGTACAGGCTCTAATTCCAGAGTTTAAACTGGTACGTGAGTTATTTATGATATGGTTTGATCACTCTATTTGAATTTTGAATAACCCCCCAACCCCAAACCCCCAGAAAGTAAAAATGATTAAATTATCATATTTTTACCTAAAGAATACACTCAGCTTTATAGAGAGATGAAGAAAACAATTGAAATTGATGTTCTTTTCATGCTCTTGATTTTCATTCTAAACTGTAATTGTTTTCAGAGAATTGGTTCTGAGTTGAAGGGATTCTTTACATGTCAACAAGAAGTGCATGCTTTGGAATGCTGGGAAATTTTTGTACAGATTTGTGGAAAGGTACGTGTAACAGCCTTATTTGTCGTTGAGTATTTGTTAATGTTGGGTTTGAAATCACAGGTCAAAAAATTCACTCTATGAGAAAGTTGTTGATAAATTGGTAAGGTAATTTTATAAGTATTTGTCTTCTAGAAGAAATATAAATGGTGTTTGTCAGGTTAAAAAAGAATTTAGAATTTTAGATAAAATTATACTTTTCAGAATCTCTTCAGTGTGGTCGTGGACCCTGTAAGAATAAATTGTTTTCATTATTTTATGTTTATTGTTGTGATGCACCTTCATTCTGTATTGGAGCTCACAATTTCATTGGTTACAAATATTAGCTTGAGTCCGTAAAAACAAAAACTTTCTTGTCCATTATTAAAGAGTTTAAAAGAAGAAAATGAGGTTTTTGCATGTAATGTGTTGTTTAGTTATTTGATGCAGGTGTTTTACTGTGAACGTTAAAGTGTGGCTTGATGGTATTGTTATCAAATAATAAAATTGCAACATTAAGCTCTACACGAAAAGTTTTCTGATTGATCTATTTTCTTATTATCACAAAAATGATTCCCTTGTACGTGATGTAGAAGGTTTGTGAAGGGAAAAAAACCTTAGACCATGCAGGTACTGTGTGTAATTAAATTTGTTCCTCTGTCTGTAATTTTGTGTTCTTAGTTTTCATAAAAAAACAAAATTAAATGTATGAGTGGGTGGGATTCAGCAATAAAGTGGTGGATTTAAAAAGGGGAAAGGGAGGGAGGCTGGGGGTGAAAAATTGTCTTGCTCAATTGAGATAAAGTGTTTAAAAAAAACTGTTTCAGGAACTTCATCATGGGAGTTTTATCAACATGCTTTTGCCAATCATGGAGCTGGCATTTAAAGGTTCTAATGAGGTCAAAGTTCGTGCTTTCCAAGCCTGGCAGGTTCTGATTGACAACTTCGCTACAAGCCATGGTGAGAAAGCTAAATGTTCTATCTGAGTTCAAAGTTATGTAATATCAATGCAGTTTACTTGTAAAATTTGAAATATATCTTTGAAGAAGACATATTAAGTACCCTCTGTGCTAGATTTTGATGTTCATGTAATGATACCTAATGCTCTGCTTCAGAAGAAATTATTTAATTAGTTGAAATATATCAATATTTGCTAAGAAAAAAAAAAAAAACTAGACACAAACCAGAAATTTATTTACAATATTAAATTTCAATATTTAAATTTCAGAGATTCTAACTTGTCCCAAGAGAATTAAACTGATAATGCAGGTGCTGAAGATAAACAATGCCAAGACAGAAACTGTTGCCATGGCAAAATTACAGGTGTGGTGGCATTTTATCTGGCTCCTAGGACCAAAAGCCCCGGCTAACTTCGAACAGGTAAATGATGTATGTACATGTAGATGGTTGACAAAAAGAAGGCAAACATTATCATTTGAGGTGATTACAGTGATGAAGTTTTTAAAGGATTTTGTATTTTTACATTTAACATTAGAAGCTGCACATTAATAACATGCAGATTTTTGCCTCAGGAATGAATTTTTCTTTCTTTTCATCCACTGATGATAAGGATGTTGTATATATCAAACTTTATGAAATACACTGTACATGCAGTTGGTTGAGAATTAAACAGGCTTCATAAACAAATTATGATTCTTTTAATTTTATAGGTGTGTTTGCCTCTTTTGCATTTTTGTGTGGGAGGATCCAAGAGTACTGCAGGTGGACTTGGTACACCAAGTAAGTGAAGTGGTTTCTAAAGCTATTTCATGAGCAATTTTGCAATTACACAAGTGCATATATAAATTGCTCAATAAAAGAAATAAATGTTTTTGTACAATATCTAAAAAAAAAAAAAAAAAATTATAAATAAGAGTTCTGTTCTACAGGTTTTTTTTTTACATTGAGCAAATTATAGTGTGGAAAGGTATAAATTAATATAATTTTTGTAAAATTTTTAGGAGCTCTTCCAAATGGTACGAGTCCCAAGACTCCTAGGATGAACTTGAGTGGAGGAAGTACGATGGGGTCAACCTATCCCAAGATTCCCTGTCTCCAGCTGAGAGGGTGTGAGGTGCTGGCACATCTTCTGGGGCGTGTGCCTGAAGATATCGATATACCCAAGTTCTCTTTCTCTTTAGGTAATGAATCACTTGTAATTATGTCTTTGAGGACCTATCGTTCTCTTATTACAGTACCTCTAGTATGCAAATTTTTTCACAGCATCATAAAGCATGTACATATAATGCTAATTTTGGTAGTGATATCAAATGTGAAATATGCTATGATTCAACTCCATTTAACGAGTTAAACATTTGCACGTAATTATTTGTTATACTTGAAATTATTTTCATGATGATCGTGTAGATATTTATAGTCTATCAAATACCCGATCAGTATGGATTGTCTTTGCTTAGTTAAGTAATTCCAGATTATTCAGGAATATCCTATATGAGATGGTGTCTTAGACATAGACTTCATGTAAAATTAAGTGACAATAGATTTCTTTTTTTCTCCAAATTTCAGATCCTCTGACACATGACCTGATTACTGGGCCTGGATTTTTTGTCAAGCAGTCTAATGTATTTGTTCACTGTGCTGCAGAGCTTATTTGTGATATAGGTTCACAAATTCCAGGTTTGTGTTTTAATCCAATGTAAATTCTTGTTAGACTATCTAGCTAACAGAAATTAAATAAAAAAATTAAAAAAAATGTTAGATCTTTCTTTATAAGAATTGCTGCTAAAGTACCAAAAGCTATTGACTGGAAATTTTGAAATCTAAGGTAAATTTACGAAAAGCATACTAATACAGTAGAATTTTCTTTAAACTCGGTGTTTTCCCTAAAAACCAGCTACCGGCCAAATTGACCGCTTCCATTTAATAAAAATGCCACTTTGAAATAAAAAATTTCAAAATTTTAGTGTTGTAATGTCGATAGAGATTTGTCATAAACTTCAACCCAGGGCCTGTTACAACTGATCTCTAACCCTTTACTTTGAAATAAAGGGAAAACACTGCAGCTTTTTGATAACCTTTTGATAAATCTGTAATTACAGAAGGTCTACTGTTACACATCTGGTTTTCTTTGATTGCACACATGAGGAATGGTCTGGAAAGTGGGTCAAGGTCAGAGATGAAGGACGCCTTCACTGTATTCCTGACCCAGTTTCAGGTCATAGTTTTGAGTGGAGCTCTAGAGCCTAAGCTAATCCTGGTTAGTATTGAAGAAGGAAAAGAGAAGGAAACAGCATATAAATTATATTGCTTTCTGACTTTAGGTAAAGTTTGTCATAGGCTGTATGCCTGTAAAAAAGAATGTATGTCTCATTTAATGAAGATAAAATTCCAAGTTCTTGAAATTTAATTTTGAAATCTGTACGTAAGAGGAAAATCAGTTGTAAAAGGGAGGGGGGATAGTACTCGTATAACTATCAATTAATTAATGTGAAGAAATCAGTAAAATAGAAATATGAGAATTTGAATATGGATCTTTCCTGTTATATTTGTGGGAAGTAAGACGATTGATTGAAGCTCTCATTCATTGTTTCAGAAACTGTTCAATGCAGTGTGTTGTTTACCGAGTAAAGCTCTGAATTCGACAGCTTACAATGTGAACTGTGGAGAAAAGCTACATGTAAGTTTTGTTACTTAGTACAAGAGTATGTCAGATACAATCCTTGTACATTGTTAATACTGTATACAGGGTAATTTTCACCTTTTCATACTTGCAAACAATTTAGCCTCGTTTTAAATTCGCCCAATCACATTTCTCTTTAAGAAACTATACTGTGTTCTTTGAATTGCTCCATTTTAATTTTCGCCCACCTGTTAGTAGGGCGAAGGGGGCGGAAATAAAACGGGGGCGAAAATTTCCCTGTATACAGTGCTTGTACATTTTCCTCAAAGTGTTACATACACTCTTAACTATGAAGAGTCAGCAAGAAATGGTGCATAAAGAAAAATTAAAACAATTTCTATACAGAAAAAATAATTGTACGAAAATGTACAGGTAAAGTATTGAATTACAACAACGTTTGATATGTTTAATTTGTGTGGTATTAAAGAAAATGGAATAAGATTGTTCCTACTGTACTGAGTTAGCCCTGCACTGCTAAATTATGTTAATTTTTGTGATAATTCTAGTTAGTAATTCTAGTATAAACTCTGAAATGTTGTTTCTCCTTCAGGGTACACCTGCACTCTTCCTGATGCAGTTACTGTTGACTCCTACTCTACTGAAAGACTGTTCATCACTGGAAAGGTAGAAAGCAGAGACACTTCAAATTAAAAAAAAACAGGATATTTAAAAAAAAAAAAGCAGTGTACATGTAGTTGGATAAAAATGTTTAAAAATATATGGATAGAAATTTTATTGTGTATCTGCACAGTTTTTTGCCATTCTTCTTCTAAACAAAAGTATGAGGATTTAATTTCAATTCCTGTGCATTTAATTGGTGAAAAATGTGATCATTTTTGCCATGTTTGTACTATATATGTACATCTTAATAGAAATCTATTACTTGTATATGTCTGTGACATTTGTCATGTGTACATGTATATTTCTGACATGTTACACGTATGTTTTCAGCTATAATACTCTATACAGTAAGCTTGTAAACATTGGTATTGGTGGACCAGGATCGCTCGAGTTCGCTCAATCTGTGCTACATCTGCTGGACATTAATACCGAGTTTATTGAGGGAGCGGAGTCGCTGTGGAGATTTTGGAGTACTGTTGTGAACCCACTCCAGGAGTTCATTGTTAAGGTACTCTACATAGTTGTACATGTACTACCTAGATGTACATGTACGTACTACCTAGATGTACATGTACTACCTAGATGTACATGTTCTGTAAATCAAGTATCATTCACAGCAACTTTTATTTGCGATTTGTCAGTTTGAAAACTTTCCGCGACATATAATTTTTATGACTAAAAGAATTATTCTACTTAAATACATGGAATAGATAGTTGGTGGAAATTTCTGCCAATAAAGATATGTTTACATTATACAAACAGGAGCGTTATTCTTTTGTAAATTAGTTGAGTGTAGTAGACTGAACATATATGTGTATCTATAATGGTTTTGAGGTTCTGACAGACCACAAAATTGATATGGATAAATTGTGTTGATTTACCTTTTGTAGCCTTACCTATTAAAAAATATTTTTTAAAAAAATGTAAGTAAGAGATTAAATGAGCTAAAGAAATTGATACATGTATGTTGTCAGGTTTTTATTACCATCATTGTATTATGAGTGCTGGGAAAGTGCTTAAAAAATAATGTTGCTGGGCTATACGAACCCTGACTAAACATACAGCTCTAATGTTGCAAATGTATGGTAAATGGTATAGCACTGTTTTTTGACCAAAAATGACATTTATAAGACATGACACAAGTTTGTTATTATCAGACAGGGGAGGTAAACCAGGGTGATGCTTTGGAACACAATTTCAGTTGTCTATATGCCGTCCTGCTTTTCCCCATTAAACATCAGCTCCCAGAGAAGATACCTCAGGTGAGTCATTTACTGTGAAGTCGTTGTTTGGGGGGGGGGGGGGGGGACCATTGTTCATGGATTTCGTGGGTCACCCTTATCCACAAATTTTCATCCCCACGAAACTTTATTTTGTAAACATTGACCCCCATGAATTAAAATGATTCCACGGTACTTGAATGGCAGCATGTATGATGCAGGCACGTAAATTCTACGTAAAGAATTGTTTTTATACCTTTTGAATGTAACCATCATTTTAAGATAAGATTTTTTGCTCTCAGTTTTTCACTCATTTTACTTCTAAAATTTACTTTGATTCTCCTGAGGAGCTATTTACAACATAAAGTGATACAGAGTATTGTATTATGATCTCTCTGTAGGTATCAGTGAAAACTCTACAGAAAACCTGGACTGAGGTCTACCAAACGTTTGCCCGTTTATCTGCCCTTGTTACGAATGCAGAGGCTAACATAAGTTGTGAGGATCTTTGTCACCAAATCAACAAGAGTCTGAAAGATGAAGAATCCCTTGTAAGTTAAAAAAAGAAAAAAAACTACAACAGGGGTATTAATTCTCTTCCTTTCTGTTCATAGCCTCATTAAAAATTTGAATTGGTGAAATAGCTACTTTAACTCTTATTTGTAGTTTTAATCTTTTAATTATAAAATGTTGTCATTGTGAAACTAAAACCATATTGACAATAATTGAAAATAAATGAAGTTATACAGAATCGCAGTATTGCATATTGCAGGCTAACTAGCTGATTGATTTTTTGCTATATTTTTTGTAGAGCCTCCAAATGCTAGACTTTCTGTCACATGCATCTCAAACAATAATCAATACTGTTGATTTTTCCTCGCTGGGATCAAGTAGCGCTTTTAATATTGGTAAGTATCTGCATGTACACTGTTAAAAGATAGTACAGCTCACTTGAGATGTGTTATTGAACTTGTGGCTGTCTTCTGTTGTACACTGTTAAAAAGATAGTACACTTCACTATGAGGACATGTCATTTACATATAAGTCCTGGCTGTCCTCTGTTTTATATTGACTTTCCTATTGTATTCTGTATCAAATTGAAACTCCAAACAATGACTAGTTTACAATTATGAATTAGTTTTATGGCCTCGGTACAAGGACAGTGTGTCTTGTCGGGAGGGAGGTAAGTATTTTTATCCTTTTATCTGTATGCTGTTTTTGTGTACAAAACACACACTAGTGTACAATTGTGAATTGGTTTTATGCCCTCGGTGCTAGGAACTGTGTTGTTGGGAAGGGGGTGGGGGTTATAGATATATTTCTTTTTGTCTGTTTGCTGTTTTTGTATTCAAAACATAGACATGTCATTTGCTGTTCAAGTGAAGCATGTCTTCATTTCATGATAAATTTCAAAGTTCTAACTAAAATACCTGCATTGGTTCCACTTTCCTGTAATTAGATATGGCTGGGTATTAAGCATTCTGATGTGTTAAACCACTGATTGCCTCCTTGCATATACATGTGTACATTTACAAATGGTTCTGTTAAACTCTATAATAAGAGTACATGCAGAAAAATAGATAAGTAAATATTTTTCTGGTTGTAATAAGTAAATTTATCACTGGAATTGGAAGTCATTGACTTTTGTTTCCAGGTGCTATGCAGGTCAGTCCAGCAAAGTGGACAAAGAAGAAGCATAAACCGATGGAGAATCTCCATTCTCTGGCTGTCCTCATAAAACACCTACTGGAGGCACTGAATACACATATCAAAAGTGGGGAGAAGAAGGTAAAGATACATCTACTGGAGGGACTTAATACTGTATACAGGGTATATCCCCCCCCCCCCCCCCCCATTTTTTTTCGTTCCTTTCACTCTACTCACAGATGTACAAATTTTAAACGTGGCAAATTCAAAGAACATGTTTATCATTTCTTAAACAGGTATGTGACTGGACGAATTTAAATCAGGGCAAAATTGTTTGCATGTGTGAAAGGGCGAAAATAACATGGGGCCAAAATAACCCTGTATACAGTAGTCCTAAGCATTTCCAGTATTTGTAGATATATTATTTCATTAACTGGATCCTACCAGACTCTGTTAAGTTTTCCAGGGTCTTAATCAGCAGGTTTAGGTGGGACAGTAGTGCTTCTAATTATACCCTCTTCTTTTGTCCTTATCTGGAATCATACATGTGACTCTTAAATACTTTGAATTGTTTGTGTGATGCCTTTGGAAGTTTGTTTAACTTATGGAGAAAGAATCTTGTAATTATGTCTTGTAATTATGAGAAAGTTGTCCAGTGGGTGTTTATGTCTTGAACAACCTGTTAGCAGACAATTTCAAGTGCAGTTTGTGTTTTTTTTTCAGGAAGCATCAAATTCTTCGTCTCCTCAGGGACCAGCCAATGCATTAACAGATTGTCTGTGTACAATGTTTACACATCTCACATCATCCAGTGTGTTAGTGGCTGTGATTGGTCACTTATCTCAACCAATCGGAGACTTGATTCAGGAATCCATCAAGAAGACATGTGCCAAATTGTTCAATAATAACTTCATGCAAAAGGTGCAGTATATAGAACAGATAGTTGATCCACTTTTGTTTCTTGATCGATATTAGGGCCCTGCACGAAAATGCCAGAGCCCTGTAGGAATCACATTGTCCATCTGTCTGTCTGTCAACACCTTTGTTGTGACAAGATAACTCTGCAGTACAGACAAACACAAATACACATAAATTGCTATAAAATGTAAACAAAGGTAATGTAAGATAACCAGCACGAACACGTGTCGTCCATTCCACGCAGGTACCAGTGACAAGAAAGCAGTTGGGTGTAATAATGTGTACATTTTGTACAGAAGTACTTTACTATAAGAACAAGCATGTAGATTTTAGGATCTCACCATCCGTCAGCACTGGTCAACACATATACATGTATATTAAGATACCCAGTTTGCAATGAAAGTTTTCAAATTTTCGTACGTACCTACTTTACTATAAGAGCAAGACACAAATAGAGTTTAAGTATAGATTTGTCTGCCTGTCTGTTCTACGTATGTTTTAATGCATATCCTTGACACTTTTATTGCGACCCAATAACTCAGGTTTCAAGGAAACATTTTCAAATTTTACACAAAAGAGAAAGACTGTAATAAATTTTAGTGTTATGTCACTTTGTATGTACATGTGTGTAAGTATGCCTGAATGTGTATCTTTTAAGTCCTTTAACGGCCCTCAGTGGGGCCCTCTCTGACTTTCAATTTTCTATTTTTCATGAGAATGAAGATAGAAATGTACATGTAAAATGAGTTAAGCTTAAAGTGATACGGTCTGCACCGCAAAACACATTTATAGCGAAGTGCCAGGGACGAGCATTTTGATTCATTAAAAACGTAATACATTATATCCATTAACGTTGCAATGCATTTTAAAACCATGGGGATTGAAAATCACTTTGCTGTAAATAAGTGCATTCACCATAACCTTGTTTTACTATTTGGGTGAAAAAAATGCTTTGCCCTCGAATGTTTTTTTTAGCTTAAGTTATAATGGTTCTAATAATATAGAAAATTGAAAACCTTAGATCTGGTAGGATTAGTGGATAATAAAGTAAATTAAATGACTTTGGGAACTTTGACAGCTCTACATGTATGTAAACGTACATGTGAGGACCATAAAAATTATGAACATAAACAATTAAGATTCAATTAAAATAATTTTAGTGCAAGGATAATTCCAATGATGGATATAAAGAAAACACAAAAAAATCTATAAAAGAATCATTGGTAAGCTTTATGATGACACCTTTCCAACTGATGAATTTATTTTGAAACACAGTTGGAGAAACTATGGAATGACATCTGTACATCACTGCAGAATCGTTATTTGGGGACATACGACTCTGACTTCCTGTCCAAGTTGTCTCCGTTATTAGAGGCCACATTCCTACATCCACGTCGTACCATTAAGAACCAGACAGCCTTGTTTTGGAGTGCCACTTTTGGCCGTGCACCTCAGCTGCTGTACCCAGAGGCCCTCAGGTTCGTGTTTTATATCAGCCGAATGTAAAACTTGTTGCCCAAAATTTAGAAAGAAGAAATTACCAGTAACTTAATATATTATTATAAATGACGTGTGACGTATAAGTAAACTGCCAGGAAAAAATGTTGATATGCTGATGATGCTACATTTGTAAAATACATGCACATGGACATCACTTTCCTGTCACTTACTATCCTGTAAACAGACACTGCCATGCATCAATATGTTCTTTAAAATAAAATTCATGTTTAAAATTCATAATTCTATATTGTAAAGAGAGCTTATTATGTCGAGATACTGCATGTACATGTACAATACATTGGACACTAGAAAGTTGGGCTTCATGCTTATACATGTCTAGATGTTTGATAAAAAATATTCTTATTTAACAGGCCAGTTCTAGCAAAGATCAAGGAAAAATCATCAATTCTGCTACCAGGCTGGGTGTCTATACCTGTCACTGTAGTAGAGGAAACACCAGTTAGTCAGATGAGCCAGGTAAGAATCCTTTGATCCTCCTAATGGGGCTGGGTGTCTATACTGTCACTGTGGTAAGAATTCTTTGATCCTCCAATGGGACTGGCTGAAATTGCCTTTTCATATCCATGATTTGCTAAATTGAGTTAATTATTCATTATTTTCTAGTACACAGTGTAAAAAATATCAGTTCATGATACAGTAAGCATGAATATTTGTGTAAAATATAACATGTTTTGAGGTAAATTCAGAGAAAAGATAGGAAAATTTTACAACATGCTTTCATTCCTTCACATTGTAGCCAGACTCCCAGGCACCTGAGCCTTTTATACCAGGCATGCCGTCACCCAGAAAAATCCATGGCAGCTTTCTAAACAAGGCAGTGTCTCCAAACATAAAAAACTCTCCTGCACGCCATACAGAAAAAGTAACTAGGTCACCTGGCGCTGCCAGAAAAAATCTGTCTATAAATGATCTACAGAAAGAGGTAAGCTGACCACAATTATTATCAAATTTATAGTAAAAATTAGATATAATGAACTCTCTTACAACAGAAAAATTGGGTATTTTGTTACAGTTAAACTTAGATACATGTATAATAAATTCTTTTACAACAGAAAATCAAGAGTAAAACTGAGATATAAGGAACTCTGTGACACCAGAAAAATTGGTTAGTTATGTCATTTACAGTGAACTCCGTAACAACAGAAAACTTGGTCATAAGGCAAACACTAGTCATATTTGGATAAAAACTAGTAGGGTCATACAGGGAAATAATAATATGACTAAGGCCTGAGAACCATAGAATTAGATTTATATAGCCTAATATTGAGTTGTGTTTCTTGATTTTAGGATTTTGTTGTGATTAAATCACCACCCAAGAAGAAGAGAATTTTAACAGAACACCAAAAAGAGGTCTTAAAAGAGAAAAAGTAAGGCTTACTATTCTCTTATGTACACACTTGATAAGTGTTCTTGTCTAAAGCCCTTAATTTTATATCAAGAATGATGCCCCTTTTTCACAGTGCTCATCTAAGAACTAGTCTTTGTTTATATACAGAAAAGAAATACAAACATTAAGAGCCCTCTGTACACTGCACACTAGAGAGTTCTGATTTAGTGGTATTTTTATGCAAATAGAGTGATCTGCTCTTTGATCAAGAATAAAATAAATTGAAATGTACAATTTATTACTTAATTTGTGATCAAATAAAGCATTCATAACACTTTAATAGGCCAAGATGAATAGATAGAACACTTTATTTGCAGGTATTTTGCCCACTTAAGTAAACAACAGTGATTTATGTTCATCAGTACTTCATTGTACATGTATTTGAACATTTTTCCTAGGGGTAAATGCAACATGTGCAAGGCACCCTATGTTGAAAATGTGATAGATAAGCTCAAATGCTTACAGATTTTCTCAATGTCCAAAAAATATTTTCCTCTAGTGTATAGAGGGTCCTTAACATGCTTAAAAATTTTTTAAGAAAAAAGTAATGCATTAAGACATATTTAAATTGCTAATTTGTTTTGGCTGAGAACAAGTGTCTGTGAATTTTAGGGTAATCCCCACCATGTATAATACATTGGATCATTCCCAGGACGTATCCCTGATGTTTGGTGCCGAGTCCCAGTTTGGATCAGACACTCAATCTGAGTAAGTGCAGTGAGCATCCAATGTATGTGTACTGAGCATGCTGTCTGAGTGAGTGTCCTGTGTACCCAATTTGAGTAGGTATACTGAGTATGCTCTCTGAGTGAGTATCCTGTGTACCCACTTTGAGTAGGTGTACTGAGTATGCTCTCTGAGTGAGTGTCCTGTGTACCCACTTTGAGTAGGTGGACTGAGTATGCTCTCTGAGTGAGTGTTCTGTGTACCCACTTTGAGTAGGTGTACTGAGTATGCTCTCTGAGTGAGTGTCCTGTGTACCCACTTTGAGTAGGTGTACTGAGTATGCTCTCTGAGTGAGTGTCCTGTGTACCCAATTTGAGTAGGTGTACTGAGTATGCTCTCTGAGTGAGTATCCTGTGTACCCACTTTGAGTAGGTGTACTGAGTATGCTCTCTGAGTGAGTGTCCTGTGTACCCACTTTGAGTAGGTGTACTGAGCATGCTCTCTGAGTGAGTGTTCTGTGTACCCACTTTGAGTAGGTGTACTGAGTATGCTCTCTGAGTGAGTGTCCTGTGTACCCACTTTGAGTAGGTGTACTGAGTATGCTCTCTGAGTGAGTGTCCTGTGTACCCAATTTGAGTAGGTGTACTGAGTATGCTCTCTGAGTGAGTGTTCTGTGTACCCACTTTGAGTAGGTGTACTGAGTATGCTCTCTGAGTGAGTGTCCTGTGTACCCATTTTGAGTAGGTGTACTGAGTATGCTCTCTGAGTGAGTGTCCTGTGTACCCACTTTGAGTAGGTATACTGAGTATGCTCTCTGAGTGAGTATCCTGTGTACCCACTTTGAGTAGGTGTACTGAGTATGCTCTCTGAGTGAGTGTCCTGTGTACCCACTTTGAGTAGGTGTACTGAGTATGCTCTCTGAGTGAGTGTCCTGTGTACCCACTTTGAGTAGGTGTACTGAGTATGCTCTCTGAGTGAGTGTTCTGTGTACCCACTTTGAGTAGGTGTACTGAGTATGCTCTCTGAGTGAGTGTTCTGTGTACCCATTTTGAGTAGGTGTACTGAGTATGCTCTCTGAGTGAGTGTCCTGTGTACCCACTTTGAGTAGGTGTACTGAGTATGCTATGTGAGTGAGTGTCCTGTGTACCCATTTTGAGTAGGTGTACTGAACATCAGACCTGTTTACTCTTATGATTTCGCTGTATTTTGTACGGATTTTGAGTCCAAAATACATCTCACGTTTTGCTATTGTGAAAATATGGAAAGTGGAAATATGTTCGTTTGGATTTTTAGGTCACCTGAGTCACTCAGGTGACCTATTGCTATCCGTTTTTGTCTGTCGGCGTGCGTCTTCCGTCGTGCGTTAACTTTTGAACATTTTCAACTTCTTCTCTAGAACCGCTCTACCAATTTCAACCAATTTTGGCATATAGCATCTCTGGGTGAAGGGGAACAAAAATTGTGAATTTCATGGTTCCTGCCCCCCTGGGGCCTGAGGGGTGGGGCTAAAACCACCAAAATTGATGCAATCTTTAAAAATCTTCTTCTTTACTCCTGGACATCAAGCAGTCAAACTGTTGACATGATTGTAATAAGCATTGGGCCCTCTACCAAAATTGTGAAATTCATGACCCCAGGGTCAGGGGTTCTGGTGCTAGGGCGGGGCTATATAGATCATACAGTGAAAGTGCATTATTTCTTTGAAAATCTTCTTCTCTTCTCCTGGGTATTATTTAAACAAACTAAGTGCATGGTTATGACAAGCAATGATGCCTTTTCCAAAATTGTGAAATTCCTGGCCCCAGGGTCAGGGGTTCTGGTGTTAGGACAAGGCTCTATTGATTATATAGTGAAAATGCATTAATTCTTTGAAAATCTTCTTCTCTGCTCCTGGATATTATATAAACAAATGAAGTGCATGGTTATAATAAGCATTGATGCCTTTTCCAAAATTGTGAATTTCATGGCCCCAGGGTCAGGGGTTCTGGTGGTAGGGTGGGGCTCTATTGATTATATAGTGAAAATGCATTTATTCTTTGAAAATCTTCTTCTCTGCTCCTGGGTATTATTTAAACAAACTAAGTGCATAGTAATAGTGCATAAGGATGCTTTTTCCAAAATTGTGAAATTCATGGCCCCAGGGTCAGGGGTTCTGGTGCTAGGGCAGGGCTATATTGATCATATAGTGAAAGTGCATTATTTCTTTGAAAAATCTTCTTCTCTACTCCTGGGTATTATTGAAACAAATTGAATACATAGTTATGATAAGCAAGGGTGACTCTACCAAAATTGTGAAATTCATGGCCCCAGGGTCAGGGGTTCTGGTGGTAGGGCAGGGCTCTATTGATTATATAGTGAAAGTGCATTATTTCTTTGAAAATCTTCTTCTCTACTCCTGGGTATTATTGAAACAAATTGAATACATAGCTTTAATAAGCAAGGGTGACTTTACCAAAATTGTGAAATTCATGGCCCCAGGGTCAGGGGTTCTGGTGTTAGGGCAAGGCTATATAGATCATATTGTGAAAGTGCATTATTTCTTTGAAAATCTTCTCTACTCCTGGGTATTATTGAAACAAATTGAATACATAGTTATGATAAGCAAGGGTGACTCTACCAAAATTGTGAAATTCATGGCCCCAAGGTCAAGGGTTCTGGTGTGGGGGGGGGGGGGGGGGGGGGGCTATTGATTGTATAGTGAATCTGTAGTAAAAATGCATTATTTCTTTGAAAATCTTCTCTGCACCTGGGCATATCAGAGGCAGAAAGAGTAAAAGTTTTAATAAAGGTTTTTGAACATCTGGATCATGTGGTCAAGTGTTCTGGTCCTGGCCAGGGCTCTATTAATTTTTATTCAACTGAGAGGAGTTATTCCCCTTTGCCATTTACTTTTGATAATTAATCACTGTAAATAATGTACTTGAAAGGTTAATAGAATAGGAGAATTATGCAACATTTTTTATTGTATAATACAAAAAGAACTTTTATAGATTAAATGATCAGGTAGTCTTGTAAGTAATAGATAAATAAAAATGAGACAAAAATAACTTGTCTTATTCAATGTTCAACAAAGACCAAGAGAGTCCAATGTAAGAGATTTCATCAAGGAATTAAAATAATACAGAATCACTGATAATTTGTTAATATACTGTATGGTGATAGTGATCAATGGGGAACAGATTAGAACCTAATTTATGAACTGTTAATGAACAGTAGACTAATTATTTTGTTAATCCTGATCACCCTATTTTTCTTGCTTTGTGCAACAGCTTCACCTTTCAGTTCATTTTATACTCTATGGATCCTCTAAATTGTTGTATTATACTCAGGTGACCGTTAAGGCCCTTGGGCCTCTTGTAGTAGTTAGTTTTCGATATGGTCTGTCTCAGTCTGACGCTTTTTAATCCCTAAAAAAGAGAAAGATTTCAAACACTCAAGTGATGTTGGGTTGCCAAAATGCGGTGGTTTAAAAAAATGATAGAAATGGTAATTAGAAATGTAGTTGTTCTCTAGTAAAATATGTAAAATTGATGGAAGTGAAATCTTACTGGCAAATGCCAAATCTCACTTATGAATCTAATAAAAAATACTGAAAGACAACAATATGGGTAAACAGGTCTGGAACATGCTCCATAAGTATCTGCACTGAGCACAAATAAGAAAATGTCCAGCATGCTATCTGAGTATTTGTACTAAGCACCAATTTTAAGTAAGTGTACTGAGTATACAATATGAGTAAGAGTCCTGAGCTCTTTATCTGAGCATACAAATAAGTAGCGGGTACACAGTCTAAGTTATCGTACAGTAAAACACGCTTTTAATGAAGTGCCAGGGATGGACAATTTCACATACTGTATAGAGGATTATTTTCGCCTCATATCATTTTCACCCCTTCATGCTTGTAAACAATTTTGCCCTGTTTAATATTCACCCAGTCACTGTTCTGTTTAAGAAATTATACTTTTTTCTTTGAATTCACCCTGTCTTAAAATTTGCCCACTTGGGTCAAGGGCAAATGGGGCGAAAATAAAACAGAGGCGAAAATTTCCCTGTATGCAGTAGTTATAAACATGTGTTAAGTTCACAATATATTCTAAAGCCACAGGGAATGAAAATCTCTTTGCTGTAAGTGTCATTTCATTATAAGCGTGTTTGCTATAAGCATGTTTTACTGTACAGAGCTGATACTATTCAGTATACAGTGTTTCTTTAGTGTTCTTTTACAGTATATATTTGTTACTGTATTATAGGCCACAGACACCAGATTCACTGAATGTGATTGACTCGAGTTTATCCCAGTACACATCACAGGTACAGTATGCATTCATACCTTTGTATTAAAACATATAACACTGTTGTCGGGATTGGTTTTCTAATAATTTACCTGTATTTTATAGAGGAAGGATAGACCCACCAAAGGGAGAACCACTAGAAAATCTTCATCAGAAGCTAGCGACAGGGAGGACTCCCAGAATTCAAAGAAGGAGCTGGGGGTCGGAAAAAGGAGACGTTCTGTCCGGTTCAAGGAGACTGCAGAGGAAGTTGGTCAGGGTGGAGAGGTGGAAAAGAAGTCTGCTCAAGTGGAGGCGGACCGTGGAGAGACGAGTGTGGAGAAATCTCAGGAGATAGGTGTCAGACGTACGACAGCTGAGAAGTCACAAAGCCAGGAGATAGGTGTCAGACGTACGACAGCCGAGAAGTCACAAAGCCAGGAGGAGTTTGAAGCACACTGGGATCAAACTTTATCGAAAATGATGGATGAAGGTAGACGATTGGTTTACTGTTAACTTTTTAATTAGGGAAAAAGTGTTTAATATATTATGTTTATGGTTTAAATCATGTTGAGTAATCGTTAATATGTTTGTCCCACAGAGCAATGTTATAAAGCTAAATTACATGTATGTCCTTGTGTAATTATTTTTTTTTTGTAATTTCAGTTGATAAAATGGAGAAGAACAGTATAGAACATTTCAGTGTCATTAAGGATACAATCAGCAGCTCACAGGAGCAGAAAGATTACTCTAATGATAGTAATTCTACTGATTCTCAGAATCTCTCATCAGGGAATAGCTCCCAGTCACAGCAAGCAGTCAGGGAGTCAGTCAAGAAAATGAGTGATTTATCTCAAACTAAAGCTAGCAGCAGTGGTAATGATGAATCAGCTATTACAAAAGCTAGTGACTGTGGTAGTAATGAAAAGGAAACTGGATCCTCCAAATCATCATTTGGGTCCACAGGGTATGTGGCTCCTGAGAATGTGATGGAAGCAGTAGAAATGGAGTGCCTTACCTACAAGTCTACTTCATCTAGTGGTGCAGACAAGTCCTCAGAAAATGGAGGGAAAAAAGATGGAGAGATGGAGACTTCTCAATCCCTGTTGATGTGGACCAATCAGTTGAAAGAAATATCACCAGCGAAAGTCAATTCCCCACTGAAAAAACTGAGTCAGGAGAGCAGTGGAAGTTCATCCTCGAGGTCAACCAAGCATTTTGCTTCTCCAGCTAAAAGAGGAAGGACTAAAGCCTTGGAAAAATCTAGCAAAGGATCTCATAAAATTGACGAATGGTTGATCAAGTCTCCAGAGAAAAGTTCACAAGAGAGTGGTATATCCTCCCAGGGGTCAGATAAGTCCTCAGGGACCTCATCAAGCAGCAGCCAGCCATTGGAGGTGACAGTGGTGGAGGAGACACAGTCGCCAAAGAGCATGAAGACGAGAGTGTCACCCAACTCGGTGCCCATTCAAGAAACTCCACCACCACCTGCCAACAAAGAGCCAGCAAAGTTTGGCAATACTAGGGGAAGCACCAGAAAGCTGTTTACAAAAGGAATGAAGGAGAGCTCAAGTATGGATCTGTGTGAGGATTCAAATATCATACCAGGTTCTCCTGAGTCTAAATCCAGTTCTCTCCCACTCCGAATAGGAACTCCCGTGCTGAAACTGAAAAGACTGACAGAGGATGAAATAAAACATTTCAGCCCTCGTAAAGGGGATGTGGGTTTTGGTACTCCAAGAGAGGAAAGAAGTTCACAGGGTAGTGCTGTTGGAGTGCATTCAGAGGACTCCAACCATGAGCATGATGACTTCTCAGATGTTTTACCATTGGAACAGGTTCCCATGTTGTCTTCTCAGGGATTTGAAACCCAGGCTGACAGAAAAACTAGTGTAGACCAGGCAGACAACACACTGATGACGAATACATGTACTGAGAATTTGTTTTCTCAGAATGAGAATAATTCTCAGGAGAATAAAGATTACAACCCCAAGCTACATTCAACCTTCCAGCCCAACGGTGAGGGAAAAGATGTACTGGGAACAGAGAATCTGAAGTCGAGTCAAGAATCAGAAAATTCAGAGTTTGGCAGTGAGAAGGGGTCACAGTCTGAGGACCTTAAAGCAATGGAATCGGCAGCTACTTATGATCCAAAGGTGGAATCAACAATGGCTCAAGACACGCCAAGAAGAGGAAGGAAACGGAAACAGGAGACTCCTAAAAAGCTTTCACCAGAGAGCAGTCGACCCAAGAGGACACGAAAAGGCAAGGGGGAGGATAAGACACCTCGAGGAAAAGCTGGGGAGAGTAAGAAAGGGAAACAGAAAGTAGACTCACAGGGAACAGCTGGAGACGAGAAAGAGAAAGTAGAGTCCAGTAGTGAAAAAAAATCCGCCAGTATTGAGAGTACATCTTCTGAACAGGTTAATGATGAGAACTTGAGTCTAGAAAAATTTACAGGAAAGGTCAGTCAGAATACAGAAAATAATACTGAAAAAGAAAATTACTCTACATCTGATGAGCGACAGTTGGACTCGGAAGGATTATTTTTGGAAAAGTCGCAAGAAAAGGTTACCAAGAACCCACCTAGTCAAAAGTTTGATGAGGAGGAAAAACTTGAAAGCCTTGAGGTTATAACTGCAAAGGAAAAAGGAGAGAAGACTCCAACTAGTAGAAGTACTGCAGAGGTTCCACAGAGGAAGAGCACAACCAAAAAGAAGATGGAAGCTGCCAAGAAAAGATCCAAGAAAAAGGTGAAGGGTGGAGAAAAAGTAATGTCAGATAGTTCTGAAGATGATATGCCATTGGCACAGACTTTGAAAGAGTCGACCAAGTCTAAAAGTAAACTGGAGAGCAAGATAGACAAGACAACTGAGCAAGAGGAGTTGGGACAGATAAAGGAAGAAGACAACATGGAAGGGAGGAAGAGTTCAGACAGTTCTGATGATAACGTGCCTCTGAATAGTCTTTGTGGTAATGCAGAAGTTGTGGGTATGAGTCAAGAGGAGAGAGAAGAAGCAGGCAGTGTGCCACCAGATGGTCAGAAAGAGAACCCTGGAGCTGATGTAGGAGATCAAAAAATGGTGGCCACCAGTAATGAAGTGTGTAAAAAAGTCACAGAGGAAAAGGGATCTGGCAGTGATGGAAAAGCAAGAAAAATGACCAGGCAAAAATTTATGCCCGCCAAAACTTCTCCCTTGTCCAACAGATTGAGGTCATCACAGGGGACCTTGAGGAGTGGTAAACCCACCCGGCGATCCCTGTCTCCCGGGAAGAGTCCAAAGCAGCTCTCATTGAAGAAATCAACGAAGCGGAAAAGTCTGGACCCAAATCTACTGTCTGTTGTTATTGAAGATTCTGAGGAACCCACCCCTATGTCCGAGAAACCTGTGGATGAACTGGAAAAGAAGGAAAATACAAATGTCTCTGAAACTGAACCATTAAAGGAAAAGGAGCAGATGGCAGAGAAAGAGAGAGATACAGAGAAGGACATACTGGATATGTTAAATGAACCAAAGATAGAGGAGACCCCTGTAAAGATTGCTGAGGATAAGACGGATGGAGGAGATTTTGCAATGTTTGAGAGGAACACAGATAGCAAGCTTGTGGTAGTACCCAGAAAGTTTGAGAAGAGAACTATTGCTAGAAGAAGTATTCTAAAAGCAACAAGTCCTTCTGCAAATTTAACCAAATTTTCCCCTCTGAGGAAGCCAGCTCCTTTTCATCCAATCAAACTGGGACAGATATTTGCACCATCTGCCTCGCCTAGTGCCAGCATACTGAAGAGAAGAAGATTGAGTGGAGAAATTCCTAGAAATTCACCCTCACCCCCAAGTAAGGTAAGCAGAAGTATTCTTCATAATAATGTTTATATCATATAGTTGCAAGGTAGAACTTTGAATTCAGACCTTTGACGTGCTTTAGTTCGGGAAATTTGTTCATTATATCTTAATGTTTTACTAGCAGAAGAAGCAGAGAAGAGTGTCATTTGCTGACCCTGTGACCTTTACTGGTGACCCTGTGACATTGACTGGTACCCCTCTCTCTCTAGCAGCCTCAACTCCTGTCATTAACACAGAGCCCACAGTGAGTAGTTCTGTAAGTGTATTAACTGTAGGAGTGAAAAGGTTCACTGCGGTATCGATTCACCACGGTATTTTTTCTCGGTTTGATACACGGTGCAAAATCTTTATTTTCGGTTCGGTTCATTTTTCGGTCAGGATCGTTATTCAGTCGGATTTGGCATAAGGTAAAATTATTCAGTATAAATAAGTATAGAAAACGTAAATTTTTGATGACTGATAGCTTGTAAAATAATTTTTGACAGTCAAATAATTTTAATCAATTTCTTCTAGTCAATTTGCAAATAAAATTCGTAAAATATGTGACTAGATTTAGAAAAAGAAAGCATAAAACAACGTTGAATTTGTTTCCTTCTATCAAAATGTATCATATCGAAAATAACTGAACCGAGACAAAATTATACAATACGTATCGAACCGTGAAGGAGGTGTATTGTTTCACCCCTAATTAACTGATATCATTGCTGAATGCTATTTCAGTGTAAGTGTATTAACTTAGCACAGATGTAAAAAAATGAAAACGGCTATCATTGCATTTAAGGAGGAGAAGTACCTTGAGCTGAAAAAATACTTGTCATTCAATTTTTTTCATATGTTGTATATTTCTAATTAAGTATGCCCCATGTATCTTAAAGCAGTTATATCATTAGGTTTCTTACCTTATTTTGGCGATATTGATTGACAAATACTATGCCCTACAGTATCTTAAGTGCAGTTTTAATTCTCCATGTTTCTGGGCTCATTACTCTGTCCATAATGGGATTTTTTAAGCATATATAAAAAATATTAAAGTGGACATGTATCTTTTAAAATATTTCAGAATATAACTAGGGTTTAAACTTCGAAAAAGCAAGTTTTGTCTATCCCACTGCATCTGGTTAGGGAAAATTACACACTTTTTAAGACAACTTAAACAATAAAAAACGTAATTTACAAAAAATTCTATCATTCAATATTTTTTAATTTATGTTGAAATGCAAATCCTTCAAATTATTGATTAACTGTAAAAATTTCGAATGATGAAGCTGACCTCATTATTTCACAGGACATCGTTAAAGAGGACATAAGCATGACAAAAACATGTCATGTTACATTTCATGAGTGCCGGAAAAACCAACTATGACGTCACACGTAAGCTAAATAAGCGAAATAAGATATACCTACATAAGATTTCCATCATGAGCCATGCAAAAATAATTTTTGTGTTCCCGTTTCTCAAAATATTTCACCATATACTGATTATGACCTGTTTTTACAAAATAATACCGCCCCTGTGTTCACCGAGTATGATCTTGCTGTACTAACAGATCGTGTATGACGTCACTGACTTGTTGGATGCGCAGATTAGGGAAACAGAGGAGTGGATCAATCTTTTTCATAATTTGTTAATGTTTACAAGAATGTTAACACTTTTTATTTTTTTTTTTATAAGATGGTAATTAAAGTTAAAAAAATTGTCAAAAATTTATACAAGAACTGATGCTTTACACATTTTGCACTTATATAAACGGAGACTATGACGTAGTTAAACAGAGTCGTGTGACCATGTATCCTTCATCCCCTTACTATGATACATGTATTGTTGAATTGCTACCAGTATTTGATATCTGACTGTTGGTTGAAGATAATTTAAGTGATGTATATTCCAGGCACTGGTCCACTCATCACCAGCTGTATCGACCAGCAGTGAACCGAGTCAGGTATGAATTTAACACATATAGACTGCCCTGTTCATAAAAAATAACACACTCTACCAAAATTCATTCAACATTTAAGATATTTGTATTTGTAATGAATTTAAAATTGAAGTTGTATTATAATGGACTATTGAAGATTAAGCCTTAGTCTTAATGATTCCTCAGACAATGAATTTATTAATGTAGAAAATGAATGCAACTGTGTTTCAGTGTATATACTACAAATAAAGTCTCCAGTGTGAACTATCAATCAGTGCTTTGAAATAAGAATAAGCTGCTCACAAAATGTTTCGTTTTATACTTTCAGACACAGGACTCTATAGAGCCTTCGACCCTGGGTAGTTATGTCAGTGTAACAGAGTCCCAGATCACAACAGAAGCCATTTACCCCGAGCTTGTGGACTGTTCACAAACTGTGGACCGAGTCCTGCCTCAACTGACCACCTCCATGTGGTAATGTTTACATTTACTTTATTTGTAGCTTGTCTATAGGTGAAGAAAAAAAAATTGTCTGTTCCTTTTGTAACTGGTCAAAGGTCCATTACTGAAAAGCTATATGTTAGAATGTGTGCATGAAAGAAGTTCATTATGTATTGTATTCAATAATTTAAACTTCAAGTTTATTAACAAACTGGTAAAACAAAGTGGTGTAAAATTACAAATTACCTCAATTGCATGAGTAAAATTTATACTGAGCTACAGTTTTGGTGGTGTTCTAAATATTCAATCCTTTGTAGGTCACGGGGTCTTGGACAGCTGGTTAAAGCCAGAAACATCCACACGATTGGCGACTTGTCCCGCTTGTCAGAAAAAGAAATTGACAATCTACCAATCAGGTCCCCAAAAGTTTCAACAGTAAGAAAAGTACTCAGTGTATTTGAAAGTCAGAACAGCAACAAGAAGCCCAAAGCCAGTATAGAGGACACAAAAGATAGTAATGACAGTGAGTTCAATTCTAATTATTGAGTTTTGTTTATTAATTCACCTGAGTAGGTTAACTCACGTGCAAGTTAGAAGAGCTATTTTAGAAGATCTAATCTCAGTGATTTACTCTATAGGTACCAGTGTGTCACACAGCAGTACTAAGAATGATGATGAGGTGGAGGTGCTGCCCTCTATGGAGGCAGAACTCTGTGAATTATCTCCCATTATGAGTAAGTCTATCTTCATTCACATGTCAGGTTACATAATCAAACAGTTTAATGAGGAATTTAAGTGTCAAGCAGAAAGCATGGCATTACCTCCCTTGTTGTTTGTTTACACAGCACTTAAAATCAATATTCAATGATAAATTTTGTGTCAGGTACAAAATTACACTCATATACATGTAGTTTCTCGGAGTATGTTGAAAACGTTTCAGTTGATAAAGTTGAACTTGAGTATCATGGATGAAACATTACAAGCTATAGTTAAAAGTGAGATTTTGGTGAAAGCTATATTAGGCCAGATAAATGATTATATTTATTGCTTTACAATAGTATGTTTTGGCAGCTGAATACTGGCAGATAAGCCAATTTGTCAAAATTTGATTTACAAGTATATAAATATTCCAAAGACATGACTGTATAGCAGGAATTTTTAATAGGGTGCTAACTTGGGCTTATTTTATCGGTTTTAAAATAAAGTAGCCCGCTAAAATTTTAATTGCTAATTTTGCACCCTTGTGTATAAGTACTGAATACAAGAAAAATAATATTGATCAGTCTCTTGTTAAACATTATCTCTCATCTGGTAATGGTTTTTACCAAAATTCTTACATAAATTGGTATTCAAACATACTGACAATATCTAGAAGATGAAGTCTTCCCTTTTGTGTCCGACAAAATTATTGGCATTCCTTTGAGCAAGCGAAAAGCCAAATTTTACACCTACCAAAGAAACCCACTACTTTAAATCCATGGTTAAATGTGATATATTTATTTTAGTGGAAATTGATTTTTGAAGTTAGAGTAAATTTGATTTAGTGCATTTCTTTATATTCTTATTTATGTGTATATGTGCAAGACATACAGCGTTGTACTTGAATTGGAAGAAGTCTGCCAAAGGCGTTAAAAGAAATACACAGCCAAATGTAATATGTTTACAGTAGGCAGTATTGAGTTATTTCTACATAAAAAAGTTCCTGGATATTTGTGTTATCGTTGCTGTTGAGCACTTTACAAATTTCATTTAATTATGTCAAATACTTTAAATTCAGAAAACGTCAATGAAGACTTGAACAGAAGCATAGCTGATGAGATGAACGCCTCGGAAGATCTGCTGGAGAAAGTGAACATGTTGGTATCTGCTGACGGGGAGGACTCCGTGGGCTTTGTCCCAAGTTTAAGAACCCCGGAGCCTCTGGAGGAACAAGTATCTGATAAATCAAAGTCCTCCATCCCTGAGTATCTTGATCAATTGACAGCATTGCTGACGGTTGATTCACTGAAGTCCTTAAGAACAGGTGAACTATTCGATGCGCATGAGAAACTTCTAAGTCTGGCCAATAATGTTGCCACAGCGATGAAGACCCGATGCTCTTCTCCAGACAAAAGTTGATATTAAAGTTTCTGGATTAAAATTTATATTTAAATGTAACAGTGATTGAATAGGAAGGATGTGCTGAATTTTCTCTGAAAAGCTTTGGAGATGGTAAACAGTGAAAGAGATCTCATAAATTGAATGTATTTGTATAGAAGAAAATGGTAAAATGTAGAATTTGTGCAATTGGAAGGATTCTAAATAACGTTGATTTCCATGACAGTATGTACTGCTAATAGAGAAAACTAGTTATATGTCTTTACGTTTTTCCCCTTATACAAGATTTTTTTTTTTTTTACTGGTGTGAACTTGTATGAAATACTATGTACTATACATTCTAAATGTAACTTTATGGCAATTACTGGTTATTGGTATATATAGTAGCCCTTCATTTGAATACATGAAAATGTATCATGATGTATTCTTTTTTCTTCATAATCAGTGTTTATATGAAGTATATGTATTGAATTCAGCACAAAATCATGACATAATGATGCAGCAATGTATGAAAGGGAATGTATTCACAGGATTAAATGATGTGTAGGATAGAGATGAAAGGAGAGATGGTGATCAAGATAAATATTGTTCTCTATTTAATTACGACTTTTTATACAGTTTTCTGATGGTGCATAAGTAATAAATCAACTCTCATTTAATATACTCGTGTTATTTATGTACAAGACCAGGACAAAGAATGTGAACATCTTGTAATGTGCATCAGCAATGCATGTCATATGTGAAGATTGCTTGTGAATGAAGGGCATGTTCAAACGAACAGCAAAGCCATGATTATTAGCTCTTCTGAGCCAAAGGCTCAAAGAGCTAATGCTATGGCCATTTGTGTGGTGTGCGTAAACTTTTTAGAATATGGGCCATAACTCAAGAACCCCTTGGCCAATTATTGTCAAATTTGTCACAGGGTATCCTTGGCCCAAGGGCTCCCTTTTATACTAAAACTGGGGTTGTGACCCTTTAACAAGGGGAGATAATTAGGAAAATAGAAACAAAAGTACTGGTTGCTAAAAAATCTTCTTCTCAAGAACCACTGGGCAGATTATCACCAAACTTACACAAAAGGATGAGGATATGTTGTAGATTAAAATTTGCACGGGGATTTACCCTGGGGCAAAGGGCGTGGTCTCGAGGTCACTTCAAAGTTGACCAAAAATTACATTTTATTAAAATGTTGATATTTTGCTTACTATAAGGACTAGGACCATCAAATCTTGTCAGTAGATGCATCTAAGGACCTCATATCATGTTGACTCAAAAGTAGGTCACGGTGACCTACTTTTTAAATTTTGCGGCCATTCTTTTTCAAAATGATTTAGAGGCATATTTTGAACAATTTAAGGCCTATGATCATCAAACTTTGTCAGTTGCTGCATCTTGGGTTCTCAAAGTACGTCAACTAAAAAGTAGGTCACCTTGACCTACTTTTTGAATTTTATGGCTAATCTTTTTTAAAACAATTAAGGTCATTAATTCGAATACGGGGAAGCTTAGAATCATTAAATCTTGTAAGATGATGCATCTTGGGGCCATAAAACATATTTATTAAAAAGTAGGTCACAGTGACCTACTTTTTGAACTTTGCAGGCATTCGATTTCAAAGCATTTTAGAGGCATAATTTGGACATTTTAAGTCCTATGATCATAAAACTTTGTAAGTTGATGCATCTTGGGTCCTCAAAAAAGGTCAACTGAAAAGTAGGTCACAGTGACCTACTTTTCAATTTATATGACTATAATTAAAATTTTCGGTACTAATTGGCTTAGAATCATAAAACTTTGTCAGTTGATGCATCTTGGGTCTTTGGAGTAGGTCAACTAAAAAGTAGGTCACAGTGACCTACTTTTGAAAATTTATGGCGTTAATTAAATATTTCGGGTACTAATTGGCTTAGAATCATCAAACTTTGTCAGTTGATGCCTCTTGGGTCTTCAGAGTAGGTCGACTAAAAAGTAGGTCACCGTGACCTACTTTTGAAAATTTATGGCTTTAATTAAATATTCCGGGTACTAATTGGCTTAGAATCATCAAACTTTGTCAGTTGATGCCTCTTGGGTCTTCAGAGTAGGTCAACTAAAAAGTAGGTCACCGTGACCTACTTTTGAAAATTTATGGCTTTAATTAAATATTCCAGGTACTAATTGGCTTAGAATCATCAAACTTTGTCAGTTGATGCATCTTCGGTCTTCAGAGTAGGTCGACTAAAAAGTAGGTCACCGTGACCTACTTTTGAAAATTTATGGCTTTAATTATATATTTCGGGTACTAATTGGCTTAGAATCATCAAACTTTGTCAGTTGATGTCTCATGGGTCCTCGGAGTAGGTCGACTAAAAAGTAGGTCACCGTGACATACTTTCGGAAAATTTATGGCTTTAATAAGATATTTTGGGTACTAATTGGCTTAGAATCATAAAACTTTGTCAGTTTAAGCGTCATGGGTCCTCGGAGTACAACAACTGAAAAGTAGGTCACGGTGACCTACTTATGAAAATTTATGGCTTTAGTCAAATATTTCGGGTACTAATTGGCTTAGAATCATTAAACTTTGTCAGTTGATGCGTCTTGGGTCCTCGGAGTACAATAACTGAAAAGTAGGTCACAGTGACCTACTTTTGAAATTTTATGGCTGTATTTAATATTTTCAGGAATTATTTGGCTTAGAATCGTCAAAATTTGTCAGTTGATGCATCTTTGGTCCTCGGAGTAGGTTGACTGAAAAGTAGGTCACCGTGACCTACTTTTGAAAATTTATGGCTGTAATTAAATATTTTGGGTACTTATTGGCTAGAATCATCAAACTTTGTCAGTCGATGTATCTTTGGTCCTCGGAGTACAGCAACTGAAAAGTAGGTCACGGTGACCTACTTTTGAAAATTTATGGCTTTAATTAAATATTACAGGTACTAATTGGCTTAGAATCATCAAACTTTTGCATCTTAGTCCTTGGAGTAAAACAATTGAAAAGTAGGTCACTTTGACCTACTTATAAAATTTTATGGTTATAATTTTAAAAAATATTTTAGGTATTAATTGGCTTAGAATCATCAAACTTAGTTGATGGGTCTTCAGAGAATGACAAGTGATAAGTAGGTCACCATGACCAACTCTCAGGTACTAATTGGCTTAGAATCATCTTGGGTTCTCAGAGTGTGAATTGGAATTTCAAGGGTTTATCTAAATATACAGTATACTTCGAGGCTTCAAATAGAAGTGATAGGTTGTACAGTTTATCAGAAGAGCGATTCAAGGCCCATGGGCCTCTTGTTTCTGTTGTTATGGAAGCATCCTTTGGAAGTGTAGATTCAAGTTTGTTCAAATCATGGCCCTTGGGATTAGGTTGGGGCCACAATGGGGGATCAAAGTTTTACAAAGGAATATGGGGTGGTGGCCTGGTGGGTGGGGTGGTTGCAGCTGCAAGTTGCTGATGAAGAACAGTAGGGTCTTGGCCAAAGTGACTCAGCTGAGCATTTGTTGTCAGGTGCAGCTTTGAACCTTTTGACTCTGTATAGAGAAGCACTCAGTCATTTTATATACCAAGAGGGTGGAGAGATCTAGATACATGTAGAGAAACAACCAGGTGTGTGTCAGGCACACTCACACATGTTTTTAACCAATGATTTAAAGGCAGATTTGATGTACCGTATTTCTGTGACAATCTTTTCTCGCGGACAAGCAGTGGCCAAATTGTTTGCAGGATTATAATGATTACTGAAACTCACGCCTTACTAATGAAATTCAAGGCCCCTGTTTCCATGGTCCATGCCCTAGGTTGGAGCAATGTTGTTGTTGTTTACTATATATTGGAAAATGTGTCACCTACATGACAAACTGTTTGCATGACTACTGTAATTAACGCTGAGCCATCTACTAATTTAAAATCCATAGCCAATGAGTCAGGTTTGGCTTAGCTGGTCATATTGAAATTTATTATATAGTGTACCTTATCTTCTTCTAAACTTCTAGACCAGCTGCATGAATATCGCATAATGTTTACAGAGATCTCTCCATAGAAAATGACACTTCTGTTATGCGAGTCCCGAATTCCACTTAGAGTGTGGTCAAAGTGGACATAGGTTCAGTAACGGGTGATACATGTACCCAGGCGACCAACACAGGCCATGGACCTCTGTTTTAACGTTTCTGAGAGAGTGAAATCATATTGGACTGTACATAAAATTTTCAGTTTTGGAAGGCACAACCGAAGCATGTGCTTCCTAGGACTGTGTACTGAGCAAAAAATTTCGATACAATATATTTAATAATGCGATATATTGGATTCTTTAACAAGTCTATCAAAAATGTCTTAAATCATTTAATGCATGAACTTTATAAAAACTAATTGTTTTGCAGCTCATTTTAAAGTTCATGTCTCACTGTCGTTACAAATTACACTTCAAATTCAAACTTTTAACGACTGTAAAATCAACATATGTTAATTAAAGTTGTCAATGTGGTTTGTAATAATCATCTTAGACGTGCTACCTCCTTCATGATTATATAATTATTGATCAAAATTTAATTCAAAACATTTAAATATAATCTTTGGTGAATGAAATTCCAAACTTTTTCACAGAATTCTATGAAAAACTGCCTGCCCGATACGTATTGGAAGTTATTTTTTTCGATACGATATATTGAATATCGTTACATGTACTTATCGGTATATCGATATATTAATACCGCCCTAGTGCTTCCCCCTGATGTTATTGTTATTTAATTTATGCAGTATAGTAGAAGTACACGTAGAGCAGGCTAGGTCTGATCTCCTCCTACTCTTAAAAAATTCTACTCACAGTATGATATGAAATTAATAAAGAATCCGCTGTAGGCCTAATTTTAGTCTTTAGCTCAATTTCACCCTCTATTAGGCCATCCTTAGGATCCAGTGCATAATATAAGAAAAAAGTACGTATAGTATTTTTCAAATATTCTTGTCACCTAAAACACTTGAAAGCGCGCATCCAGGACCCCCCC